CTGAGGTACAAATATTCTCTTTTATTGGTATTATATATATGTTTTGTGAAAAGTGACAATGCAGAACAATTTTTAAAAGTTTATCTTAAGCCCACTAAGTATTCTTTAAATGATTTCCTGCATAAAAGTTTTGTACATTTTCTGACAAATACATAAAGAATATTACTTTATTTTCTTTATTTCTTCTCCAACAACTACAAACATTTGAAAGACAGAGAAGGCTTAAAAAACAGTTAAACTGATTATGCTGATACATAAATATTTACTCATATAAAAAGTTTTGGGGAAATTGAGTAAGATTAGCAAAAGAAATAAAAATCCTTACAGTGGTAAATCGTAAGGTTTTATACAAGGATGCTCCTTAAATTTAATTTCATAGAAGTGGTAAAAGATGTGAGACATCATCCCACCAATGACAAGGTCACCAGGCTGGTAGCACTCATGTGGAACAGGGAAAGCATCTCTTGCTGGGCAGGTCCGAGTTACTATTTTCTTCACTAAGAACACCAGAAGGAGCAACATCTTCACTTTATTGTTCTGGCAAAATGTCTCTTTCTTCCATCTTATCCTATCCTACCTCAGAGGGAAGTTTGTGTTACTCCAATGATTAATCCAGTGATTAATTCAATATTTACATCTGAGAGTGCACTTAATCAGAAAATCCACCATTGTCTATTTGAAGATCTATGAGAGTATAAATTTGTGTCTCAATAGCATCAGGATTTGAACAGATATTCTGGGGGAGAACCGAGAGAGGCAACTTATAGCAAGGACTCTGACACAGCCATTATTATCCATGTGCCAATATTTCTATGATTCAAGTGGTACTTTATAATCATACAGATCTGTTAATTGTTGTTGAATTGAAATAGCCTTCTGGGCAGTCTGTATTGTTTTTTTCTAAGAAAATATGGTGATTCCTGTAGGAGATAATTATTTTGTTTTTGGTCAAAGAAGACACGGCTGGAGTTAAATGTTTTTTTTTAACTGCTACCTTCTTCATCGCTATACAGTTGCAAATAAAATGTATAGGGAAGGTTGGCCATACAAAATAAACATGATTTTTGAAATTCATATTATTTTTCACAATAGAGTGGTGCGGTGGCCTAGAGGTGGTGTTCTCGCCTCACAATCAGCAAGCTGCGAGTTCGATCCCAGGTAGAGGCAGATATTTGTCTCTCTGGGCCCAATGAGAATATATCTTTTGGAGAAAGCTCCACATTGGTGACAAGAAAGGCATCCGGCCATTAAATGCTCTGCTAGCTCCATTCAGTTACCCACCCTGCAAGGGATTATGGGGTCATTAATTGATGATATTATTTTTTCACAATGAATGATAAATACAGTCCATCTTCCTTTGCATAGTGTTAACAAAAATGCATGAATGCCCCTCGTCATTTTAAGAGTTTTCCATGATTTATTTCCCCATTCCCTCTAGAAGGGTGGGGGCTACCTCTATTGTTTCCACAATGTATAGGTTGGTTGACATTTTTATTTATATTAGTTATGACATTGAGTACATTTTTATTTTATTTGAAAAGGGACAGATGTCTGTAGCCTTTTATCTTACTGTGGGTGGGCTTGTAACCTTTTAGAGATCAATTCCAGCAGAGGTTTAACTCCTTAGTAAAATTTGTGATCATCTACACCTCTCAATTTCCAAAGAGAGGAAAGCTGTTCTCATTTTTTTTCATTTTCCCTCTCTCCCATCCCTTCCTCATTCACAGTATTATATTTCATTTTGCTGTCATTGATGAACACAACAGTATTGAAATCTCACACATTTAAATTCATCAAGCATGAATTTACTGTAGAGATCTATTTGATACCTTAAACTATCTACTATTGACTTCACCCCATTCCTAAGAGGTCTGTAAGGGGCATGCGTTAGTGTACAATTGTGCCTACTGTCCCTGTCCTATTGTCCCTATTTATTCATACCCATTTCCTGTATTCATACTGAAGTTTATTCTTATACCTATTAACTTGTAAGCAATTGACAAATCAACTCAAATAAATAAATAAAACATTTATTTGAAACATTTCTCTTCAGATCATCAGTTTAATGGTAGAAGCCATCGCTCTGTTTTACTGTATAGAAACACAGAGGAAAAAAAAAACTCTCTGTGTGTGCTTAAATTTGGAAAAGGTTTCCTCTGGGGCACCAAAGAGTTGCTAACCCAAAATATAAGTACAACACAAGATCAAATAATGATATATTAATATAGATAAATAACAGAAGATTTCTTGGACAATTTCAACCTTCACTCCATCCACTCATCTCTTTTTGGTCCAATTTGGCTGAAGTTGAAATTTGGTTTACCAGCTATTCCTCCCTTTCTCCCTATTCTCTTTTTCCTAGCAGCCCTCTAAACTAAAATTCTCAATTGCTTTTAATTCCAACTGTATACTTAAGATGGGAGAACATTATCAAATAGAGCTCAAGCATATTATGGGAACAATGGTGGAGGGAATATCTTGGTGGGCTTTAATGGCCAAGAGGTTGAACTGGTTACAGTATTTAAGAAAAGTGATTTCTAGTACCTCCTCAGTTCTTTGTAAGAGCCATGATGGCTCAGTGGTTAGAATGCAGTATTGCAGGCTGATTCTGCTGATTGCTAGCAGTTCAATTCTCACCGGCTCAAGGTTGGCTCAGCCTTCCATCCTTCTGAGGTCAGTAAAATGAGGACCCAGATTGTTGGGGTTCTCTTACCACTTACCACTTATGGCTGTAAAGCACCATAAAGCAGTATATAAGTCTAAGTCCTATTGCTATCTTTTCTTTGAAATTTTTGTCTGTTAGCTGAATTTTGGATATTAGGCCAGAGGCAATTTCACTACTACTATACATAAATCAACAATGTTATTAGTATGGTGACACAATGGTTATATAGATGTGACATATGGGAGATTTGAGGAAATTAGTCATGTGAAAAATGCAAGAGAACAAATACCAGGAAGCAGAATTTCCCACCTGCTTTCCTAGACTAGCTGTATTTTGTGAGTAGTTAAGTACCACTGAAAAAACAGAAGCCAGAGAGGAAGTTCAAAAATGAAAGAAGCCTCCCTTTCTGTTCCTTACTCCCTTTTTGCTCTCAAGTCAAACTAAGGGTTGGACTACATGGTTCTTTCCAACTCTGTTAATCTGAATGTGAAAAAAAAAAAATACTAGTAGCACCAAGTCACATTCAAGTTGAAAGGATTAGCTGGTGATCTGGGGATGCCCAGTTGGGGGATGTTTTCATGTCCCTGGCAGGAGCTGGAGTGAAGGAGAAGAGCTCAACCCAACCCCACGGCAGCTCTCAGGACTCAAATGTGAGCTTGCTAAACTCCTGGCCAGCATTCCAACCACTTGAGCCAATGTTTCTCCAATTACTATTCTTTAAAATGTATGATTATGGACTCAAAATGAACCAAGTACTTTTCCAAAACATTTTACAAAGAAAGATAATGAGCATGGGTATGTTTGCTGAAAGAACTGGATGGGTGACATAAGGCTGTGAAAATCTCATTTTTCCTACAGAAGGGATCGTGGATTGCTTAAAATGGATTAAAAACAAGTTAAATCTTACATAGAAGAATACATCCATTTAAAATTTGAAGGGAAGGAAATTAACAGGACAGCAGGAGCATCCCCAGAGCTGCCATCTCAGATTTGGCAGTGGAGTTCTCCAGGTTTATGGTCCTGAGGGACTTCAATCTGCTTGGCATGCTGCTTAATCTTGGAAACAGTTTAGGAGTTCATGGCCATCATAACAGTTTTGAATCTATCCATACCCAAGTCAAGACTGTGGTCACATTCTAGATTTGATCTTCTTGCTGAACAGTGGCAATATAATCTGTCAATTGCCCCTCTGTCATAGTAAGTCCAAAGACATAGTGGGCTTGAGATTCTCTTATGCTGGACCTATTCAAATCATCTTGCCTTGATGACAGATGGACCAGCTTCAAAGGTGGCATTCAGCAGGTTCTGATCATTCTGGAGAATCGGTACTGGAAATTTTGAGTAATTCTGAAAATCGACAAATCCCGCTTCTGGCTGGCTTTGCCCCCATCTATTCTCTGCCTCCTGAGTTCCAGCTGATCAGCTGGGTCTTTTTTTGTTGCCCTTCACAGGAGAATGGAGCTAGAAAGCAGATTAGTGGAGTGAGGAGGAAATGGGATTTTGCAGTAACCTTCCCCCAGGAGTGGGGAGGGAATGGAAGTTTTACAGTATCCTTCCCCTGTCATGCCCACCAAGCCCTACCCACCAAATCAAGCCATGCCAACCAAGAGATGCCTACAGAAATGTTAGTAAAAAAATTTTTTTTGAATCCTACCACTGACTTAGGTAACACTGACTGCAACCTGGAATCAGAGAATCCCTGACACCCTGGACAGGACCCCACCAATGGGTCCTCTTCTGCTCCATGAGCCTTGACACTCACTATGGTTAATGGAGGAGCTGAGGGTGTTGTAAAGAGATGACTAGTGCTGCTGGAGAAAAAGAATGAATCTGACCAACCAGAGGTCAGAGCTCTGATTAAAACCTACTTTATGGTGGTAGGAGCAGTGAAAAACCAATATTTATACACACTTATTGCATCTACAGAGTATTTGCCAATAACCTGTTCAATATCATCCAGTCCCTCCCCAGAAAGCAGATTATCACCTTAAGGATTGTGCAGAGGAGCAAAACCTGATGGATCAGATTTCCTCTCAGTTTGAGTCCAAAGATGGTGCATGATGCTTGGAAAACAGATTTAACCTGTTATCTGGGAACATTGACATTGGTGGACCTAATGAAATGGACAGGGAACTCAGGGCAGTCAAGGGTACTTCATTCATTCATTCATTCATTCATTCAACACAACTACAACACAACCTTTTCAATCTAATAATAAGAATAATACTTGACAAATTTCCTTTGACAGAAAGAAAAGCTTCTATATGTTTTTTGTACAGTCTTTTTATTCCTTTTGGAAAGCAGTTTATCTTATTGGGAAAGAACACAAGATATGCTAATTCTTCTTTATGAGTGACTTCTGGTGGTTGAACTGTGGCTGTAAAACAATGATATAGCACTTTGGCAAAAATATGCATCCCAGTAATGCAGTGCTGGAGGACAAGATAGAGAAGACCTCCACAGCTACCATTGCTTTTCCTTTAGTGCTCAGATAGGCTGGAAAGAAGGAGATCCATACGCTGCAAAAGGCCAACATGCTGAAGGTGATGAACTTGGCTTCATTAAAGGTATCAGGTAATTTACGGGCAAGGAAAGCCACAATAAAGCTGGCAATGGCCAAGATACCCATGTAACCCAAAACACAATAGAAGAAGGGAGCTGAACCCTCATTGCACTGTAAAATCACTTCTTGGAAATCTGAGTGCATGTCCAACTCAGGGAATGGGGGAGATGTTGACAACCAAAGAGTACAAATAGATACCTGGAAGAGAGAACAGAAAAGGACAGTACAAAAACCCAATCTTCTCCCCACCCATTTTCTCATCTGAGATCCTGGTTTAGTGGCCATAAAAGCCACAACCACAGTGATGGTTTTGGCCAGTACACTAGAAATGGCTACTGAGAAGGTGATGCCAAAAGTTGATTGTCGGAGAAGGCAGGTCACTTTGCCAGGTTGGCTGAGGAACAACAAAGAGGAGAGAAAACAGAGCTGAAGAGAGACAAGCAGTGTGTAGGTGAGGGACCAGTTGTTGGCTTTGACAATGGGAGTATCCCTGTGCTTAATAAAAGTTCCAAGCACCCAGGAGGTCAAGAAGAAGAAACAAAGAGCACTTGAGACTAATCTGATTCCTAAGGTTTCTTCAAAGGTTAGAAACACCACTAATTTCAGGATACATCTTTTCTTTTCCTTATTTGGATAATGATCTTCTGAACATTCAAAACAATCTTCCATATCTGGGGGAAAAATTCAAGGAATTCATCATCCATGCATTTCATATTTCTTGTAATTACTTCTGAATGTGTGATAACTGTTATTCATTTTCATTTTTTTCTACTGGTTATCAGTGTGGTCATGTTTCTATGAAAATGCAGTTTTTCCTCAACTGTATTATTCAGGACTCATTATAAAAGAAAGAACAATGAGAAAGTTAATTATTCTTTGAAAAGCAATCCTTTCTAAAATTTTAATATAAAACATTTAAACTTTTCTCATTTTTTTTCAAAATATGAAGAAAAAAACGTGATGATGGATATAAGACTTAAGTGACAGAAGCAAAAGTACTGACTCTGAGGAGGAAAACACTTTCATTCATTTAAATTCTTGTAACATTTCTCTTTCTTACAGAACAGGGATGTCAAACTCAAGGCCTGGCAGCTGGATCTGGCCCACAGGGTGCTTTGATCTGGCCACAAGCCCACCCTGGAAACAGTGAAGGATGGGCCCATGGTGCCTCTGCTGGTGAAAATGGATCTGACAAGGGCTGTGCCCAGCCATCCCAAGCTCCATTTTACTGGCAGAGGGTTGCAAGAGACTGTCCCAACCAAAAACTGAGATTGGGAGCCTGTTTTTGCTGGCTATGGGATGCTTATTGTATATGTTTGTTTTATTCAGTGAGATCACATGATGTATAACAGATTTTAGAGCAATGTTATAAGAAGTCACAAAATCACTTGTTTATGCAGGTAGTCCTAACTAGAAAATTGAGTGCAATGTGATTTCAAGTCAATTGCAATTAATAGTAAATTCCTTACAGAATGCTGGTCAAAAAGCACAAGTTCTTAAGCTTGTCATTTTTTAGGAATTATTTTGTAGTAATTTCTACATATAACTACAAGACTTCTGAGTTTGCAAAATCAATTTGCAAACACTCCTTCAAATTTCTTGCAGACAAGCTCCTTCCAAAAATGTGTGGTGAGCCAGAGCTATGAAGATAACAATTTTTGGACTCTAATTTTAATGTTTTTAATTCTTCATTCCAACATCTTAAATTTAATTATTTCTGAGAAAATTACTTGTGTATTAAAATAAGTTACTTTTAATTTTAGTAAAGAATAAACTGAGCAAAATGATGTTTTCAAATCTCAGATGCAAAAAGATGGGTGCTTCAGAAATTTTTTTTACAGGAAAATGTAACGGGTAGCATCTGGATACTGCAAAACAAAATTATTTTTACTAGTGCAAAAAAAAAAAAAATGTCATGCTGGCTATGTTTTAAAAATGCTTAATATTTCCTGAGTTTATTCTGATATTTTGTTTCTGTAAAACAACCAAACTAATGCAAACAGTTTGAAAATATGAAAAACATATAAATAGTTATAGATCATAATAGGCTCAATGGATAGATATAGATATAGATGATATGATGATTGATGATGACGATGATGATGATGGTGATGATGATGATGATGATGATGATGATGATGATGATGATGATGATAGGTGATAGACAGACAGACAGACAGACAGAGCGAGCCTCTATAATTAACACTACCAGCCAGAATGGGCAAATTTTGACTCCTGGACAACAAATTGCGATCCATAGAAAATAGTATTCCAGTCTGAAGAACTAATTAAACAAGTAAGTATACTGTATGTGTGCTAACATAGTGTATTTGCTTAGATGTATCTAATGAAAAAATAGTGGATTGTTGAACCTACCATTTTGATTTGAAATCTTCCCTTTGGGGCATGGAACACAATCATAGCAGCAGAACTGGTTTACCTCAATCCCTTTCTTCCAAAATCCAGGGAAACAAGGGTCATTACATCGAGAAAATGGAGGAACCTGGTAACAAACATTAAAAGTGATATTTTAAACATAATTATTAATGTTTCTCCTTTATGAGGGGAACAAATCCTTGATTTCCTAAAGGGCTAGTGAATTAATTGTATCTAGTTGGATTTATACTACCCATTAAGAAGATTTTGAAATTACAAGGATGCACAAGGCTACTTGTACTGAGAAATATGCATGGTAACAAGGTTATTAAAATATGCAACAGCTATGATTTCAAAGAGAAATGCAAGCCAAATATGAAAATGTGGCTTTCATATTGGAATGTCATTATCTTAATTTGGTAAATGCTTCAGAAGACATTTGGACTAAATATGCCCATTTTTTTTCTTTTAAAAGCAAAACTTGTATTTATAAAGAAAATACATTCATTTGGGATCAAAATGGATCAAAACCATAATGGAACAAATTATAGTTGATTAAATGTCTGCATACCAGATTAAAAGATGGGTGCCAGACAATAATGTCTTCATCAATGAATAATTCCTTCCCTTTTGGAGCCTGAGGATCTATCTTTCCAACTCTAACTCTCTGAAAGGATCTGTTTGCAAAAGGGATGAAATTAATGATGTCAAATCCACTCATTGCTTCTCCTTTGTCATTCAGGAATACTGTCTCTCCAGCTGTATTGTTAAAAGAAATGTGTTGAAGAAATGGATGGAGCTACTTGAAAGAGAAGGAAAAAGACAGGGGATTGAAAAGATAACAATGGAGAGGTACATTCAAGTTTCATTCACACATTCTTCCCATTTCTATAATAATTATCAAAGAAGTACATCTAAAAATTGATAATGAATATTTCAGAGATGTACTCTATTATTAAATACATATCATTTTAAGGAAGGCTAAAAAACAACCTCAAAGAACCAAAGCAGAATACATAAAAAGAGTCTAGTATCTCTATATTTCTTCGTATCCTCATTTTTTCTTTCTCAATTGGTACAAAGCTATTTCAGAGCCTGGGATACACAAATTTGGTTTAACCTGCTTTTATAAGGTGAGATTTGAGTGTTCCTCAATAGATAAAATAGAGAGATATATTCTTACAAAGATAGCTTTTCAAGGTTGACTCAGCCTTCCATCCTTCCAAGGTGGGTAAAATGAGGACTCAAATTGTTGAAGGCAAGAGGCTGACTCTGTAAATCCTTTAGAGAGGACTGTAAAAGCACTGTAAAGCAGTATATAAGTCTAATTGCTATTACTATTGCTAGTTTCCAAAGGGTGGAGGCCACAACTGAAAAGGACTACATTTTAGCAGATTAACAGAGTTGGAAGGCACCTTATAGGTCATCTATTCCAACCCTCTACCCAAGCAGGACACCCTACACCATTTCTGACAAATGACAATCCAATCTCTTCTTGAAAGTCTCTGGTAATGAAACTCCCACGACTTCTGAAGGCAAACTGTTCCATTGGTTGATTTTTCTCACTGTCAGAAAGTTTCTCCTTATTTCCAGGTTGAATCTCTCCTTGATCAGTTTCCATCCATTATTCCCAGTCTGATCTTTGGGTGCTTTGTAAAACATGTTGCCCCCCTTCTCTCTGGGGAGCCCCTGAAATATTGGAAGACTGCTATCATGTCTCCCCTGGTCCTTCTCTTCACTAGACTAGCCAAGCCCAGTTCCTGCAACCATTCATCATATCTTTTAACCTCCAGTCCCCTAATAATCCTGGTTGCACTTCTCTGTACTTTTTCTAGAGTCTCAACATCTTTTTTATAGTGTGGTGACCAAAACTGGATGTAGTACTCTAGGTATGGTATTACTAAGGCTTTATAGAGTGATATTAGTCTGATACATCATATACATTCCTCTTGAATTCTGATAGCAACAGCTTCTCCACCTTAAAAGTTCATGAGTCAAACAGAAGTAACTTGGGATATTGGTTATTTTTGAAGGTGCCAAAATGGAAATGATCAAGGACTTCATTTTACCCATGTCTTACTGGGCAAAGTATGTTGATTTCCTACACAAACCCTATTAATACATTAATCCTAATTTATATAACAGCTTCTCAATGATCATACATTAACTTTATTTTCCAAACATAAAATGTGAAGGCTTTCCACAATTGGTTCAAAACATAATTCTGAGTCAAACGTTTCATTGCAATAAAAGAAGTGTCCAATGGAGAGAGAATACCTGCCAAGATTGCATATCTGGAAGCTCAGGATTTTTACTTATTGTAGTTTTTTTTCTATTGAAACGTAACATATATAAAGCCTGCAAAGCATGAGCCACAGCATAAACAGCATTGTAGACACTGTAGCTGTGTCCAGTCATTTCCATTTCAAACACAGGCCCAGGAAGACCCTCCAGCTTCATCTCCCCAGTGCATGGTCTATTGGGCATTTCTTGTAATTCTGGTTTTGGAAATGAACAGTCAAATGATTGTTCCCAAACATTCTGCAAAAAACTATTTCTGTGGCCTGAAAGAGGATTTACAGTCTGAAGAAATTCCTTGAAACCTGCAACTACTCTTGAATGAATGGTGAAGGAAATAGCTCCATGGAACATCTGGAGATCTGATTTGATTTGAAGGCCTGAGAGTGTAAAATCAATCTGTGCAGTCATGAGCCACACCTTTCCAAGTAATGCAATTTTCTTATTTTCAGAATCTGCCACAAATGCAACACCTCTGAGAGACATTAAGGTCAATGATTCACCATAGACAAGCAATGTCTTGACTTTGCTATTCATCAAATTAATGGAAATACTGGAAATTTGGAAATAAAGGTCTTTGTAGTCTGCCAGATTGATGAGTTGTGGAAACCATTGAATGAATGATGAGCAGATGCCATTCTGTGAAAATAAGGGCTCCATTTTCTGTAAGAAATTTTCTCCATTGCTGTTATCTACAGCAAAAATGCCAATCCATGTCCATCTAAAATGATGAAGCAGTTGAACAATCCCAACAAACTGATAGTCCTCTTTTGGGACCATGTAATAAAGTGAAGATTGTTTACTGGTCTGAAAAACTTGTTGGGCTAATGAGCCATAGGTCAGCTAAAAGAAAGCAGAATATTATTCTGTTCAATTGTTACCTCTGAAGTGATCTCTTCATATCAAAGAGTCATGTAAATATATCCAGGAAGGATATTTTTTTCCTGAAATTCCCCTAAGTATAGAATGAAATTCTAGAAATTATTTCAAACTATTGTAATAGATTGATTTTGTCTCAACATACATCCACACAAAAATCATCACAACAACGGAATCCCCAATTATAACTTCAAAAAAGGTAACTATGATCTTATAAACAATGATCTCTCATCCCTTGATTAGCAATTTCTATTCTCTGGATGCAATACTGTAGAAGACCATTACAACATATTTTTACTTGAAGTCTAAAGAGTCATCAAACTATATGTACCATTAACAACTCCCAAAACCTGAAAAACAAATTACCCATAACAATAAGGAAGTGTCAATCCAAAAAGAAATCACTTTGGCGGAAAAACAAATCTGGTCACGTTGCCAACTTCAAAAGCCGATACAAAAATGTATGCCACCAAATAAAAACTGAATGCACCAATTATCACATTAGACAAGAAGAAAACCTTCTACACACCAATTCCACCCATGCTTCCTACAATTTTGTACAACAAACTAAAAGACTCAAGGTCCATTCCACCCCGAAAGGACCTAATGGTAAAGACTGCAACAATGACACTATTAAAGCCAACCTCTTTAACACATTCTTTGGCTCAGTATTTGTAAACAGCAATGGATCATGCCCAGTATTTCTTAGTCAAACTACAGACAACTACAATGATCTAATACATATCGATTTTACAGAAGACAATGTTGAAAAAGCACTGCGCAATCTGAAACCATCTCTATCTATTGGACCGGACGGAATATGTGCCTACTTCTTGAAAAAGCTATCCACTGCCATAGCCGAACTCTAAGCATAATCTTTGAAAAATCTTTCAGGACCAGCTCCTTGCCAAAACTATGGTCATAAGCCATGGTCATCCCCATCTTAAAAAGGGAGACCCCAGCCAAGTTGAAAATGACATCTCTTTATGCTGCATCACTGGTAAAGTCATGAAATCAATTATTAACCAATCCATCATCCTCCACTTAGAAACAAACAACCTACTCTCTAATAAACAATTTGGTTTCAGGAAAAAACTATCATGTAATCTGCAACTCACACTGCTAAAACATATGGACTACACAACTCGATCAGGGCAAAGCAATAGACAGAATCTACATAGACTTCTGTAAAGCCTTTGATTCAGTGGTACACAACAAACTACCCCTAAAAATAAAATCTTACGGTATCTCTGGACACCTGCATAACTGGATAGAAGCATTCCTGTCAAACAGACAACAAATAGTCAAAATTAGGAGTGTCCTATCAAATTCTGTACCTGTCAACAGTAGTATCCCCCAAGGCAGTGTTCTAGGACCAACTCTCTTTATACTCTACATAAATGACCTCTGTGATCATATTAAAAACAACTGCGTTCTCTTCGCTGATGATGTAAAGCTATTCAACACCACAGACAATACTGCTACCCTTCAAAAAGACCTCGGCTATGTATCAAAATGGTCAAACAAATGGCAACTTAAAATCTCAACAAATAAATGCTCTGTCCTACATATTGGCAAAAACTAAAATAAAATCAGAAAATAAAACACAGGCTGAAAAGTCAAGACTTTGTTGAGGATCCAAACTCTGTCAAGAATCTTGGAGTCATCTCTAATGATCTAAGTGCTAGAGCCCACTGTAACAACATAGCCAAAAAGGCATTAAGAGTTGTTAACCTAATCTCATGTAGCTTTTTCTCTGGTAATATTACACTAATAACTGGAGCATACAAAACATTTGCTAGACCAATACATGAATACAGCTCATCAGTCTGGAACCCACATTACATATCTGATATTAACACAGTTGAGAAAGTCCAGAAATATTTCACAAGAAGAGTTCTCCACTCCTCTACTCATTGCTGATAACCTTACGCCACCAGACTCAAAATTCTAGACCTAGAAAACCTAGAACTATGCCGCCTTCAGTCCAATCTAAGTATAGTATATAAAACCATACATTGCAATGTCCTATCTGTCAATGAATACTTCAGTTTCAACCATAACAACACAAGAGCAAACAATAGGTACAAACTCAAGGTTAATCGCAACAGGAAAATCAACTTCAGCAATAGAATGGTCAATGTCTGGAATACTCTACCTGACTCTGTGGTTTCTTCCCCAAACCCCAAAAACTTTAATCTTTGACTGTCTACTATTGATCTCACCCCTTTCCTAAAAGGTCTGTAGGGGGTATGCATAAGCACACGAATGTGCCTACTGTCTCTCTCCTATTGTTTCTTTTATTTTTATTTTTTATTTTTCTTATATGTATCCATGTATTCATAACTATGTTTGACAAAAATAAATAAATAAAAAATAAGATCAACTGTATAGTAGATCAATAGTTTTAATAAGAGCAGAAAGGACTATATTGAAATCTGCCTTCAAGAATGGATTACTTTGTAGATTTTGGGACACTTCTATGATTGGCATTGTACTTTCAAAAAAAGTGCTAAGTCTCTTTTTTCTCTTCATTTTTAATTTTTACTTTTGAATTATAATTGAGTATTTCACAATTGGATTAAGGTATTGAAGAACCTGAAGAATTTTTCTTTTTCTTTTTTAATTTTGGGCTTTTTACTTCTTTTTTTCTTTTCTTTTTTCTTTTTGGTGTTTTCCCTTTTTCTAATTGGATTATAATTGGTCACCTTATTAACTGGATTAAAAGAACCGGAAGACGCTGAATCACGGAATGAGTAAGAGAAGTTTACCTCCGGGCACTTCAACTTCTGCTCCTGTTTCTCCATCAACTGGAGGACGACTTTCCATAATGGCAAAGCAAGATAAAGCACAAATGGATTTAATGACGGTTATGCAAGGAATACAAGATCTTAAAGTGAGCATGGAACAAAGAATGGAGAGTATTGATAAAAGAATTGGGAAGATTGATGAAAAATTTGAAAATTTTCAACAAATGATGGTGAATCATGATGAGAGAATCCAAAAAATAGAAGAGAAAGACAAGCAAAGAGATGACATAATTGGAAATATTGATAATAGATTAACAACGGTTGAACAAGAAAAAAGTGGGATGTTGAAGTGGGAGATGGACAGGTCAGAATTTTATCTTAGATTTCAAAATATTGAGGAGGAAAAAGGACAAAATTTGGCTGCAGTAATGATTGAAATCTTGGCTGGAGCCTTGGAAATAACAGAAGAAAAGATGATGGATGGAGTAGATGAGATATATCGAGTTTTCACAAGATATGCAACGAGGAACCAATTACCAAGAGAGGTTCATGTTAGATTCACCAAAAAAACTATTAAAACCCAAATACTACAAGTGGCAAGAGAGAGGGTGTTGAAGTATAAAGACAAAGAGATTGTGGTCTTAAAACAAGTACCTAGAAAAGTGAGAGAGATTAGAAGAGAATATCGATTTTTGACTAAAAGGCTATTGGAAAAAGAGGTGAACTATAGATGGCTGATTCCAGGAGGATTAATGTTTACGTGGCAAGAACAGAGATACAGAATTGATTCAATTGAGAAAGCAGAAATATTCTACAAGGAATTCTTTGAAAGAAGAGAAATGGAGATAGAAAAAGAGAACATTTCAACTGAATCTGAAGAGGATCTGATGGAAATGAGAAAAGAGGAAGGTGCAATAGGTGGACAAGCGGAGACCAAAGAACAACGTGAAGTAAGATCCACGAGAGCTGTTAGACCTAATTATAAAGTATAACCATGGAGGAAAAAAAATTGATTTCTATTAATATAAATGGACTGAATTCAGCTACTAAAAGAAGAAAAACTTTTCACAAATTAGAGAAGCTAAAATTTGATATAATTTGCCTACAAGAAGTACATATTAAAAAACAACACGAACAACTACTGACACGACCAAAATTAGGGAAAATATTCACTTCTCTGACTTACTGTAAGAAAAGAGGAGTGGTTTTGTACATTAGAGAAACCATTCTAGCAAAACTGATTTATACTGATGAAGACGGAAGAGTATTAATGGTTGAAATAGTGGACAATAATACAAAAACACTTTTGGTTGCAATTTATGCCCCGAATGATAAACAAGAAGAATTTTATAAAAAATTACACATGAAAATAATTGAACTGGACTACGCTAATATACTTATGATGGGAGATTTTAATGGAATTGTAGACAATAAATTGGATTATACAGTAAAAGCAGCACGACAAAATAGGAAAACTCTCCCTAAAACTTTTTTTAAAATGATAGATGAATTAAATCTTAAAGACATATGGAGAGAAAGAAATGCTAAAACTCAACAATATACTTTTTATTCCAATAGACATTTATTATGGTCCAGAATAGATATGATTTGGACATCAACGGAATTATTATCTAATATTCAAGAAATAAATATTGAAACAAGTACATGGGCAGACCATAATCCAATGACAATTAAATGGAAAGGACAAAAAAGAAGATCTAGATGGACATTAAATAATACTATTTTAAAGGAAAAAAACTTTACACAATGGATGGAAAAAGAATTGGCCTTCTTCTTCAATGTAAATAAAAAAGAGGACACTTCAATACAGAATGTTTGGGATACAATGAAGGCATATGCAAGAGGATTAATAATAGACTATTCAAAGAAAAAGAACATTAGGAAGAGGCAAATGATTAAAGCTTTAGAAGATGACCATAAAAAATTGGAAAAAGAATTACAAAAAGCGCCACAAAAAAAAGATATTAGACTTAAAATGGACATAATCAAACATAAAATGGATCAAGCAGAGAAAGAAGAACTGGCACAAAAAATTAGAAGTGCTAAACAGAATTATTTTGAAGATGCAAATAGGCCAGGTAGATGGTTAGCATATAAATTGAGAAAAGAGAAAGAATCAAGGAATTATTG